GACAGCCCAAGACAAGCCCTCGACGGCACAGCCAAGGGGGTCCTTGCGAAGCTCGCCATCGCTCGGACGTCCATTCCCCGTGCATTTTTCGATTTCGTGCGTGCATTTTTCGCTAAATGATCGAAGATGCTCCTCGATGGTCCCCGCCGAGAAAAAATGCACACGTCCGAGCGATGCCAAGGAAGTCCTGGTTGTGTCCTGGTGCAGTCAGTCGTAGGGACCTGGCGCGGCCTGGTGTGGTCACGGCGGACGTCCTGGAACGGCTCCAGGCTGGGCCCTGCAGATGGCGCCGCTGCGAGAACTGCAATGTGGCCATCGCGGGGGGGCGAGAGCAAGATCCCGAGCTGGCAAGTTGGCCAGGGGTGAGGCGGGGCTCCCGGCTGCGATGTGGCTGGCGCTCGGACGCCAGCACCGTGCCGAGCTGGTGTTGTGGCTGGCACGCGTGCGGGAACACGTTTCTGCAAGCAAGATCGCCCTTCAGAGCTGGGGATTCGGCTGGCGCTGAGGCGACACACACAACTGCGAGCTGGGAGCTGTGGCCAGCGCTTTAGCGAGAGCAGCGTTTTGACCTTGCCATGTGCTCGACTGTGAGGCGAGAGTACTATCCTGAGCTGGAAGCAGTGCCAGCGCTGAGGTGGGATAGCCATGCCGATCTCAAGATATTGTCGACACTTCAGCGAGAGCATACTTGTCAACCAGGAGTGTTCAGGTTGTGCTGCGCTAGCTACGGGGCACGCATACCTGTGTACCAAGGGCGAGACAAGAACTAAGCAGGTCCTGGCAGAGGTACTGGAGTGTGTAAATATTTGACCCCTGCTGAAACTCCTCAACAGCGTGATATGATACTCCAAAATGGCATCCTCACACTGAAAGCCCACGGGCTTCACGACCGTACTGCAAAAGCCCTCTTCCGTATCCATTTGCTCTCTTTACGTATCCTTTGCCCCCTCCTCCTCCTCACTGCCCGCGCGAAAGGAGACGAAGGCGAATAAGCATGGAGAGGATGAGGCGAGGTGATCAGGATGAGGCGAGGTGAGCAGTCGTGCATCTGCCGAGCCACGCCAGGATGACGCTGCTTCCCAAGGGGAGCAACCAATGATTAGGGGGCAAATCCAAGAGATACCAAGCGATGCCAAACTGCGGCCTGTACTGGTCAGGCCGCTTGACGAGGAGGCGCGTGGTATGACTTGGTTTTGCCTGGAAGCGAAAGCGGGGCAGGTGACTCACGCACTGAACGACATATGGCAACGGCCGTGCTCGAGGGGATGGGCAGGGTAGGGGCGAGGGATGGGTAGGGGAAGGGAGGGGAAGACAGCAGAAGGGGGGGGAGAGGCGAAGCAGGGGAGGCCACGAGCGGCGGCTATACCCATATGCCCACGCCTTTTGCGGCCTGGCTTCCGGGGCGCGACCCCGTGGATGATACGCGGAGGCGGGGATATACGTTCCGCGAGGCACATCCGCGACCCAACGCCCGGTGTCTATCAAGGGGCCCTGGGACACACAAATCAGTACACAGAAAGAAAAGGATCCCCCATAGTTTCCCATATCTTCTGGGTTTTTGTCTTCCCCCCCACTTCCCATACTTTCCCATATTTTCCGGGGAATCGACGATTAATCATGTCTGTGTGTTTTTTCCCCTCCTGAGTCTATTGAGGTCGCGGCCCAGGGG